ATGCGGCTGGCCGAGGGGGCTTGGGAGGGGCTGTGACCCGGGGCTGTGCGTTTTGGGACCCCTGTCACATGCGGCAGAAGGGGCAGGATTGTGTTTATCAGCAACCCACCTTGCCCAGGGCACCCCAGCCCCAGGGACTCCTCTCCGCTGGCCCTGTCTGCATCACTCTGGGGGGCTGGTGCTCCCTTATTTCTCTTTCCAGAGTGGCATTAGACTTATCAATATCCACATCATCCAAAGCCAAGGGATTTTTACTGCTGAAGGAGGCAGAGGAGCCATCCTAATCAGGCCCTTCAAATCCTGTGCTGAGCAATGCTGCTGCTGCTGGCATGGGACTGTGCCCCTGGCCAGGGAGGTGAGAGGAGCAGATGTGCCAAAGGTTTTATTTTTTCTCTCTAAGAAGTCAGTTCTGATAAAATACACAGTCACATTGGAAAGGGTTGGTGTAATTAAACAGTCGGATGCTGGGCAATGTGCATTAGGCTCTTCATTGCCTCGCTGCCCGGGCAGAAGGTGGAGCAAGGAGCATGAGGAGGTGTCTGCTCCAGGGAGAGGAGATGCTGGGGTGAGAGCTGAGCTTGGAAACCCAGCACCTCTCAATGCATCTCAGGAGCATGGGCTCAGCTCTACGCCCCAGCAAAGCTCTCCTGGGCAGCTGGTGGGAAATGCGGGTGGTTCATGCAGCCTCTTTGTTTTGGGAAAGATTTTTTTCTAGCTGCTTCGCACGGTGGTGATTCCTGGTGCTGCAGACATGGAGCTGGGGAGGGCTCAGGGCTGGGAATGCGGTGCCATGAGATAAGGGGGCTGCATCATGGGAAACCAGCCCCGGGGGGGGGGCCTGCTGCCCAAACCAGCTGCTGCAGATGGGCCGAAGGACGCGAAGAGATAAGAGTAAGGTCACCCAAGCCCTGGGAGAGCTCGCTGGGTGGCTCAGCGGCAGGAGGTTTGCAGGAGGCTGAATAAACCTCTTGGCTGTGTCCTGCTGTTGGTCCTGAGCTGCCGAGGAAGCTGCGGGGGCTCTGTGGGCACCACCAGCCCTTGGCAAGGCAGGGGCATGGACCAGCGGGGCTGAGCAGCTTCTGAGTGCGGGTTTACACCCCACCAGGGCTGGGCTGGGTGAGCATGTGGCTCCTCGCAGGGCACCGGCTCCCAGCATGTCCCAGAGGATTTATTTTCCTAAAATGGAAGCAAAAGCTGAATTGATTTATTTTGGTTGGCAGTATGTGGAGCAGGGTAAATAATCTGACAAGAAGCTCCAGAGCTGTCCAGATATACCAGGCACCTCCAGAGGCTCGGTTTCTTCTCCTAGAACTGGGTTGGTTTTGTTTTCCGAGTCCCCAGCTCCTAAGGTGGGAGCCAGCTCCCACCTGGGCAGAGCCATGGCCAATGGCCAGCACAGCAGCTCCCAAAGCTGTGCCCAGCCCTGGCCAAGCATCGTTCCTGCATCCACGTGTGTCCATGGCTCAGGATGTGATTGCTGGCTTGCCCTGCAGAGATGCACTTGGTGTCTCTCCCTTGCTCCTGGCACACTGTTAGATGGTGCTGCAGGGTCCTCAGGTGGCCATGGAACCCCTTTTGCTGGCTGATGGGGACGTTTGTGCTTTCCAGCCACTCTGGGAACCTCTCTGCACAGCCCTGAGCCATGCATGTGCCATGGGTGTGCAGGAGCTCAGCCTGTTTTCCTCCAGCATCCTCCTCCTCCTCGGTCCCCCTGTGCTGCGGCCCTCCCCTCCAGGCAATCTGTAGCTCTCAGGCTCTCACTTGGCAGCTGGTTCTTATTCCTGAAGATTATCTATCTGGGTTTGCCTAGGGGGGTTGATATAACACTTCTGGGTGTTTTTTTTCCTTCCCAAAGCCCTTTAGAGCATCCTCAGCTCCCCAGGGGTTTCTCACTATTTCTCACACAAACCCAGGCCCCTTGGGTACAAGCCAGTCCCTCTTCCCCCAGAGAATATCCTGTAACCACCCAGGTGTTCCTCTGCTAAAGTCAAGGTCATTTGGGGGTTTTCATGTTTCTCTTGGGGATTTTCTCCTCTGTTGGAGGCTTTGCTTTATTGTGGTTTTGGTCTCTACTTGCAAAGCAAATCTTACCTGCTTTATTTTGCATGTCTCCAAACAGAAGACTTTGACACATGATGGCTG